ATGATGATTTATGACACAAATTGTTATAGTCCTGAAATTATTCTGGGATCTGATGTAATGTTTAATGACGTTCCAGGCATCGTTGGCGTCAGGAGTCCGGGAAATCGAATCGTTGAGGAGAGAACTGGAAGCTACCGTGATGGAGAGAGCACAGCTACAGGCCAGGGTTGAGGAGTTACTAGAGAAGGTAACGGAAGCTGACCGGCTTCGAGGAGAGCTGGAGAGGCTGAAGGTATGTACTGCTAGAGTCAAGATACAGTAGTTCGAAGTCCATTGTAGATGGTAGTTAGTTTGAGACTTTTAGGCACTCTTTTAGGTAGATGTACGTGTGTGTGAATGTTAATCTCTATAAGATATTAATGCCCATATGCTTAAACAAGACTATGTTCTCTTCTTGGTTTCATGATAATACAATAAGGCATTCGGTCTCTATACTTAAGATTTCCAGTTTTATCTACGATCAAACAGTATCACGGCTTCAGTTTGACTATTATAGGCTGCCATAGTTACTGGATTTTATCTAATTAGGTGGAATGATAATTGGATTGTGGATTTAAATAAAATTTAATGTTTCAGTATATGGAATTGACTTGGAGATTTCTTGATGTTAGTTTTCATAATATTTCTAATTCATTTTTTAATGTATTCCTCGAAAATTAGATGTATTTCTGGTGGCAGTTGGATTAGAGGAATTTAAATGTCAATGTTTACGTCAATTTTATTCTAGTTTTGACTTAGTTCCTTTTTTAATTATATTGTAAATTATTGTAGCAGTAGGTAGGTACAATGACGGAAATATCGTAAGTTGATGGTAATTATTTAATTTCCAGAGTATGGACGCAGAACGCGAGGCAGCGCTGGAGCGTCTTGCGGACGAGAACGGCGCGTTGCGCGCGCGGCTGCGCGGCGTGGCGCACTCGCCGCTCTCCGACAGTGAGAAGCGACAGCTGCTGCTCGCGCCCGCGCCGCGCCGCATGCACTCCTCCGCGCCCGCCTCCATCGCACTCGCCAATGTAAGCGCTTTTAATCATCAACATAATATCAGCCTCAACACGTCCCCTACTGGACATAGGCCTCCCCTTTATGTCTTGAATACTCTTAATCAACCTTCTAAAATTCATAAGGTTAAAAATTTCAATGTGACATAAGGTCATGAACTTTATTTCTTAAGGGAACTTAAGTCTGAGCCTCTTACGACCCCACCCATTGCAACACCTGGAATCCCGGGAACTGGATTGGAGGAGTAAAACATTAGACCTAACCCAGCAAGCATTTCCCAGTGAAGAAATGAACAAAATCTTATTACACACAATATATTTGTACAGGGTGAAGGTGATAGCGGTGAGGCGAGTACTCCGGAATGGGACAAGCACTCGTCCTCGTCCCTCAGCGAGGTGTCGGTCGCCTGCCTGCAAGACCGCATCTTGCAGATGGAGGAACACCACTACAGGTATTAATGGAACTGGAGCTTGGAACATTTAATGATCATTTTTACCATAATTTTAGAATGCCCTCTAATTTAGTTTAAGGAAATAATTACCTACCGAAATGAACCGTGAAATGGTAACAGGAGGCTTTAATTAATAAGAAATAGACATTTACACTCTAAATCATTTAAACATGCTTTGAAGGTCAAAGGTTTTTTTCGAATCAAAATAAATGCTAACGACTTAGGAAAAAACAAGCCTGATATATACAAATTAGGAAAAATCAGTCGTTTAGTTGACAATTTGATTTTATTACTGACGCTATCGCTATCCCAATTCCAGCACAAGCGAAGAGCTACAAGCCACACTAGCAGAGCTAGCAGATCTCCAAACCCAACTGGCGGACGCTCACGCGGACAACGAGCGCCTGGCGGACGAGAAACAAGTGCTGCTGGAGTCACTGTGTCGACAGACTGAGAAACTAGAAGATAGTCGCACTAAGGTAACATACATTTTGGATATTTTTGGGTCAGAATCAATTAATTGTGGGAGAGCCATGCTTCGGCACGAATAGGTCGGCTCGACCGCGGTGATACCACGGCCTCACAGAAAACCGACGTAAAACAATGCTCGCGTTGTGTTTCGTCGTGTCAGTAAAGTTACTGGAGGTCCAATTATCCTCCCCCTCACTAGTATCTCCAATCCCCCACAATCCCCAAATTCCCAATTCCCAAAAGGCCGGTAAAGCACACGGGCGACGCCGATTGCTTACCGATTGGTCTGCTCGTTCATCGGCTCATTCCATAAAAAAAAGATAGGCCTTGAGTCTGACCTACGATGGCCTAAGCTTCCAATCACCATTATGATAATTATCTAGGCGAAACGTAAAGCAACAATAAAAAAAAATGAAGATTTGTTTTTTATAAGAAGTCTCTTATAGAAAATTGGCTATGAATTATAATTTACAAAATTAAGTCAGTCACCTAATCTCTGGAAAATCCCCTGGGGAACTGGTTCTTAAGTTTATTATTAGGTCTACAATATCGACCGATTATGTCATCATTTATCAAATGATTTCATTTCTTCAGGTGGACACCTTACAAGAGCTCCTAATGCGTGAGGGTGTGGAACCAGGGACACTGGTATCTGGAGACACTGACCAACAACTCTTCGCTGTTCTCAAGGTAAACAATGAATTATACTAGAACTTTATGTTATCACATGTTTTAGTGCATATTTCGTACTTTTTCGCAATAGATTTGTTAATATTGGATGCAAAATTAAAGAAGAAAAATGGATGCTAAACTTCATGGCTTGCAAATACAACCGTTTGCTCTATCCGTTGCCTCGTTGGCCGAGTGGCCGCAAAGTATTACTTGGTTTTTAAAAAAAACTCAGTAGTAGCTCGGAGTCTGGAATTGTGTCCGGTAAATGACAATTGGCTCATCACCATATGTACATGGGACTCATAACATAAATAGTAAAAAGTGGGTGTTACATTGTACAGAGGCATTAAGTACCGTAATGTGCACCTCTGCCTTCCCCTTCGGAGATAAAAGACGTGATGTTATGTTATGCTCTACCCAGAGTATCTAGCGAGGTAATGATACGACTCACTTCTCCAAACCCTGAAGATAAGGCTTTAAAACCTTCTTATTAAACGTTTAAGCTATCTCAAGAAGAACGCAGACATCTGCTGACAAAGCAAGAACAGTTGGAGACAGAACTGAACCAAACCAAGGCAGCTCTGGAAGAGAAGACCAAAGAAAATGAAACACTCGCTGAGAGGATACGGTACGTTGCGATTTTATATTGTAATTATTGATTGGTATAATTAAACTATTAAGTAGAAGTTTTTTTGCTGTTGATCATCTTGATATGGGTTAGCCATAGGAATAAAAATTCGGAAACTTCAGGCAAGAATAAGAATTATTTATTCCTCATAAACAAAGGACAATAGTATACCTATTATGTATTTAAAAAAATGTGGTAGACTATCGAATATACAGAAATCATAATCACAATTGCAGGGTAGATCAAAATAATAGAAATGGTCATAGATAATCCTCATAGTAGCATGTTTTTGGACCGAGTTAAAACGGATCAATCGAATCGGATCTAGCAGTAGGTCCGCCATATTCCGTTGAATTATAACTATAGAACTGCCTCCTGCCTCCCGTATGAGTACAAAGTACAACATCCTTTTGGAAGCCACATGTAATTTTGTACCTAACTACTTTGGTTGGTTTATCTATCTCGTGTAGTCGTGTATATATAATGTCAATGCGTATCGTTGTAATTAGTTTATCATTCGTTAAAATACACCTTTTTCAGATATTCATCTAATTAAATAATTTTAGATATTCAAATGATACGAAAATATACTTGATACAGTATCTTATCATCCGTTTGATATTATTGTTGTTACTTTGTATTGAAGTTGAGGAGATTTTGTGGTTTTCGTTTTCTGTTTCTTCTGAATTTTTTATGGCATTGGGACGGCTTCGAACGAGAAAACTGATCACGGGGTAACCATCCTCAACAACCGGGAAGTTACAAGCGCGTTGCCAGCTTTTAGTTAGAGATAAAGTCTCCCACCGAAAAGTCCACTCACACGGAAAACACGAAGCAAGCGTTGTTTGACGTTTTCTTCTCGGCCGTGGTAGCATTACGGTCGAGCCAGTCCTTCGTGCTGAAACATGGCTCTATCACGTTAACGTTTTAGCTTTTAGCTTGACCTGCTATCATATTCTAGAGAAGATTTTGGATTTACAACAGCCTGTTAATGGTTTCACTCCAGTCACTATTTTACGAGTAGCATTTCCGGATACATTTCGGTGAGTGTGCGCGAATTGCACAACTTGATACCCCCTAGTCCTTTCCATCATCGTATCACAAGACAATCGGCGAAGCGTCACCGATTCATGGTGGGTGGGACCCACAGGCACGAAGCGCTTTCCATCAAGCTTCCTTGTGCGTACTGCTAAGGAGTGGAATTCTTTGCCAGAGTATGTATTTCCTGAAGGGTAACCTGAATGTCTTCAAGGCCCGAGTGAATAGGTTGCTTATGGGACGACGTGCTCCATCGTAGACCACATCATCCCTTACTACCAGGCGGTCAGACGTCAGCCCATAATTCTTTTTTATGGCGTAAGCTGGTTAACGATCAGACGGATCACCTAATGGTAAACAATCGGCGCCGCCCAATGGACACCTGAAACAATAAGGAGTTCCAAATGCGTTATCGGCCTTTTGAGAATTGAAAATTTGAGGATTGTGGAGGATTCGGGGATTAGGGAGACTGGGGAGGGGGTAATTGAGCCTCCGGTAACCTCACTCACACAACGAACTATAACGCAATCGTTGTTTCACGTCGGCTTTCTGCTCGGCCGTGGTATCACTCCGGTCGAGCCAGCTCATTCGTGCCGAAGCATGGCTCTCCTACACTTAAATATAAAAAACAGCATATTCGATGTGCAGAACCTGACCACTTAAGAAGAAGAAGTTATCTCAATATTATATGAGTATTTTAAATGCTGTACATTCAGGGATCTAAATGTACAGTGAAGGGGGTTGACTGTAGCCTATCAACAATCTTACCTGCACCTAACAACCTACCAACAATCCTATTTGCACCTAACAGCCTACCAACAATCCTATTTGCACCTAACAACCTAGCCCTAACCATATAGGTACAATATATACTTATATATATAGTGCGGGATGCCTGTTACCATGAGACCTAAGGCAACAGACGGACGGTGGGAAGGATGAAGGGTGTATCGGAAGGGATTTTCTCACTGCCGATCCGCAGCCTCACGGACCGACCAATAACAAAGGCTGAGTGATGCCAGAGCTATCGGTAACTATTTATAGGCGCAGTAACAGTGAGAGGAGTCGATGGTCTCGTCGAATGAAACAGCGTTGCTCGAAGCGTAGAAAGAGAATTTATTAAAGATTTACATGCTATTTATATTAATATATTTACATGTATAGGTGTATTACTTATACGTATGCATTTGTGTGAAACCGCGTAGATCAACACTGTTGCGACACATAACTACGATTGAGGTTGATTCTGGTTCATCGCGGTCACTGCCCTGCTGCGTCGGCATGTTCACATCCTCGCGTGAACA